TTTCCTTGTATTTCTAAGATTCTGAAGACTAACTTGGCACAAGGGAGTGCTGAAGGTTAGGCGTTCAACACGGCCATGCTTGGTGGCTGAAAACACTTTCTCCTGGATGTGAATGTGCCACACGCAGTGAGCCCGCCATTGGCGTTTCTACAGAGGCGACTTCTTCCAAGCCATTTGTGACAGCTGAGTGCAGAACCCAACTACACCTCTGATTATTTGTTGGCTAACAGAGAACGCGGCGTCACCCAATTAATGCTCCTCAACTCTGCCCTGCAGGGATCGGTTCCAATAGCACTCGGGAAGAACCGAGTGTGCCACTGTCTTGTGAACCTCACATCCCGGAAGCCTGTGGAGAGTTCATGGGTGGCCCTGATGTTTGTCAATGAGTATTGCCTTTCTCCCAACTCCATTCCCACAGCTGGTTTCCTCTTTCCTCCTGGGCTAACCTGCCTCACAGGAGCACCATGCAATGATCACCCCTAATCTGGCGTGACAAATGAGTAGGGCCACAACAAATTAATAAGAGCGTGTGCTCTGGAGGCGGAGATCCTAGGTTCAGACTCTATTCCGTCCTTAGCAACGGACGGACACCGACTGACTCTCTGGTTCCTCATTCCTAAGATAGGGCAGAGATAAAAATACGGATATGCCACCATCTCAGTTCAAAGCTCTCCCTATCACAGGCCTTCAGAAACTCTTGTAGCGGCTAGGTGGACGCTCTAAATGACCTTTGCACCAGTCTCTGCATTTCCCTTCCTGTGGAAGACAAAGGATATCATTTTGACTCAGTGAGGAATCTCATCTCATGCTTGGACCGGTGGAGTCCCAGAGGGAGGCCAAGCCTGGGAAGTCAGCAGGTCAGTTCCTCCACCTTTCCGGTTGAACTGGGGCTAGACCCTCTGAGCACAGATTGTTAGCTATCTGAAGAAGGGCCACAGAGTCTTACCACCCTTGTGTTCCTCTGAGCAGTACTCTGGAACATAGTGCTTTGAAAATGGCAGTCTCGCCAAATGCCCGTGGCCTGACTACATTGAAAAGGAGCCTTTGCCGAGCTTGCAATGAAGCACATAGCTTGCCTGGGAAAGGGTTACAAGGACTGGAGCGATCCCCTGATCGTGGACCTGATCACGGCCTATTTTTCTTTTCACGGTGTTTATCTTTTTGTTTCTTCCTTCTTTTTTCTTATTCTTTTCTATTGCAGACCTTTCTCAGATAAACTACTGCAAAATTACTCTTAATTGGCTTTTATTGTATTTTGAGATGTAAATGCTCATTGAAAACACGAGGCTGCTCTGATGGGGCTCCCTTCATTGGCTCGCCCATCAGAGTGTCTGCTGCTCCTGTGCTGCGACATTCTAGTTCATCTGCTACATTTTAGTGCTTTGCTTCTGTCCGTAAAAACATGGTTACGCTGTCCATTTGGAGTTGGCTTTTTTTCCATAACAATGCATTGCAAATGGCTTTCCAATGTTCATACACACTGCATCCCTTGTTAGTGATGCAAGTATAGAAATTTCTTGTTATCCAACTCTTCATTATCATTACCTGAATCCCAGTAGTGGCTAAGTTGTGTAGGAAAGCAGAAATTAGTCATAACAGGGAAAGATCCAGTAATGAACTGACCACTTACTAAATTAGTCCCCACTTAAATGCCTCCCCCACCCAGCATCTATCCCCACTCCACCAGCCAATTTTGCTGATTGCAGATGTTATCAACTTCCCACAATACAATGTAAATAAAATGCATTTCAGTTGCAGTGCAAAGTTGCTAATCTTGCAGAAGATGCAGGATGTTATGAAGCCATTGGAAGGGATTCTGGACAGGCGTTTCATAAGCAAATGAGCGTCTGGCAGTGCTGGGCCCCCTCACAAGGAGAAAAACAGCAACGTGATGCGGCGAACAGAGTACATGCTTCAAACGGAGACTCGCTTGAATCTCAGAGGACTGAAAAAGGCTCTTAGGAAAATGGAGGACCCTCTACAATGTCTTATAAATGACCCCAGTCTCCTGCTATAAAAGTCAGTATGGAGTGACGGGTGTCAAATTTTGCTGCAAAATCCTTTTGTTAGGTAAACTGTTCCTCCACTGGGTCAACCCTTGGTTCGTTGTTTATTCTAACAGACTACAGCACTGTTTAGGTAGAGTATATGAGCAATTCTGTTGTATACGTTCTTCAAAGATAAATCATGTCTAACGATAAATAAGACAATCTTTACTTTTAGTTTTCACAAAAACGAGTCAACCCTTTTGTCCCCAGCCTTACTTTGGGATGAGAGTTCCTGTTTATTAAATTTGCAGCTTTCAACAGCTGTATTATGGCAAGCAGGAACAACAGACTCTGAAAACAGGGCTCCTCATGGACTAATCAGATTCTCGTCTCTCTCCAGGAGGCATTTGGAGGCAGGGTGGGCCGCTGTGCAGGAGGAAAGCCTCAGGGTGGTTGGACAATTCAGGGAGATGGACGGGCCTGCAGGGGGTTGGGGGGGGGGTAGGGAGTGGAGGGAGAAGCAGGGACTTCTCTGGCTCTAATCTGGCACATGGATATTTGGAGCCAAAGCCATTGAAACGACTTTAAAAAGATGTAACTTCATTTGTGTCCAAGCTGGTAAAGTGAGTTACACCAGTTACATGTGGTCTCTCAGGACTGATTTTTAACAATTATCTTCTGCCTTGTGTTTTAACACTCGTGTGGCTGTGAGCAAGCCCGTACACATATATCCTGGCTCAGTTCTAACAGTGTGTCTGTAAGAGAAATTTCTAAATGTAAAACCCTGAAATCAGGAACAAGCCACATTAAATGTGTAAGCGAAATAGCAATGACTTTACTGTTTGTTTTTTTTTTTCTTGGTTTTTCAAGACAAGGTTCTTCCGTGTAGCCCTGGTTGTCCTGGAACTCTCTCTGTAGACCAGACTGGCCTCGAACTGAGACCCACCTGCCTCTGCCTGTGGAGTGCTGGGATTAAAGGTGTTGCCACCAGGCTTAGCTACTGTTTAATACTATCTGCAGAATCTGAGAATATTTACTTTTTCTCCACACCCCTTCCTATGAGACTATTACTAGTTTTTGGTGTACATTGGTTGTTTTTGTTTGTTTTATGTTAATGATAAATCCTTAATCTGTAAAATAAACTTAGCCCACTGCCTATTGAAAATCTTTAGACTCTGGAGAGTATGTATGTTGGATGTAGCGAGAGATCATTTCTTCTTGGAAATGAGGAGTTGAAAATTGAGTTCCCATTCTTCCGCTTAAGTCCCTCTTTGAAAGGGGTGTGGCAGCCGCTTCCGTAAGATAATATGTTCGTAGTCAGTAGCGGAAGAGGGGAGGTTAGTTTTGGAAACTTCCAGGTGGGATTGTGAGAGCCTTTAAAGACCTCCAAATCTGTGCTGGTAGGAGAGGAGTGGCTTCTGTCTCTGGCTACCTTGATGTCATCTAAGCCTACACTTGCCCCATCAGAATGTTGGTCACAGAAATCTTGGGTTTTCTGACTGAAATATTAGCTTATACGTTCAGGGACCTGAGAAAGAAAAATGGAAAAAAAAAATCTAGTATATGTTTATCACAAGCCGTCAAATGATACTCTTTAGTAATGTGCATTTTCTATGTTTTATATTAAAAAAATTAAATGTAAGCTTAGTACATGATCCAGTACTATACTCCAGGGCATGCACCCACCTGTGGTGAAAAGAGGCCTGTGCACCCATGTCCACAGCAGTGTCCTTTATAACAGCCCAAAGGAAAGGAACCTATATCAAGAGGCAGAGGCAGGCGGATCTCTGAGTTCGAGGCCAGCCTGGTCTACAGAGTGAGTTCCAAGACAGCCAAGGAAACAGCAGACAAAAGTTCCTATCTCAGAAACCCACAAAAATAAAAATTAAAAAACCTCACAGCAACAACAACAACAACAAAACTTACACTAAGGGAAATGAGCCACTTACAAAGGAAAAAAAAAACGGTGTAAGTCTACACATATGAAGTACCTAGAATAATCAACTTCATAGAGACAAATCATAGCATGGGAGAACCCTCAGGCTGGCCAGACTTGGTATCTGACAGGCAGAATTTTACTAGGGGAAAAGGAAAAGTTCTGCAGCTGGAGGGTGGGGATCATCACACAGTAATGTGATTACGTGATCGACCACAGAATGACATACCTCAAAGTGATTACGATGGTGAATTTTATCTCATATATATTTATTATAATACTTTTCTCTTTATCTATCTATCTATCTATCTGTCTGTCTGTCTGTCTGTCTGTCTGTCTATCTATCCTCTATCTATTTTGATGCTGCGAGGTCACACCCAGGGTACACGCTAATGCCAGGAGTGTGCTGGACCTTTAGACAACTCATCCCACTAGATTGAGTCAAAACCTAAGTGGATACCAACTCTAAGGGTATAAATGCTGAAGTGCTTGGGGATGAAATGTGCTCAGTGTACCAGAAATGAGGATGAATTGATAGACTGACTGAGGCACGACAGATGTGTGCTAGAGAAATGGAGACAGATGTTCACTGTGGACCATTGCTACCTTTCACTTGAATATTTAGAAATGTCCTCCCCACCCCCGGCCCAGTGTGCTGGAAATAAAATCCAGGGCCTTGCTGCATCTGCTAGGCAAGCGCTGCTGCTGAGCAACACTTCCAGTCAGTCCTGAAATCTTTCTTAGTGAACAGTCACTTGGGGAGAAACGACTTAGACCAAAAACATGGGCTAATGAAAGATTCCTTTTATGACAAATTCAAATTTTGCTCTTGTTAATTATGGGAAATAATTTTGTCATAGCGAGATCTTCCAGCTGAGTTAAGGAAATAGGACCTATTTTTGTTTGTTTTTAATAACTTTCCAGATAAGGACATTTATTAGACAAGAATTGGACAGGTATTGATTCACAACTGACTCCATGATATTAAAAATGAAGTCAATATCACCAAAGTTGATAAGCATCTCTGTATACATCAAAGGCAAGGGTCATGGTTCAGCTTTTTCTTCTATTTATAGGAGCCGAGCCTGTGTGAAGGGAGAGAACCTCAGACTCCTCCAGATGGGAAGACGGAGTAGGAAAATTGCTGGGAGGACATGCTACTCAGGGCCTTTGCAAGATGCCGGCCTCCTGATGAATATTAGCTCATGGCAGAAAGAAGGTGGATTATAAATAGCAGCTTTTTGCTTCTTTGCAGAAACATTTCAGAGAGCTCCACATTCCTTTGCTTTGGTTCATTAAAAAGTAAACAGAGAGAAGCAGCCTCCATTTTGGGGATCTCCACACTCCAGACGTGCGTAGGCAGATGTAATTATAGAGGCATGCAGTCCTCCTATCCCAACCACATTCCTATGGCCTCGGAGAAAACAGCCAAAGTTTCAGAGGTACAAACTCAACGCCTAAAGGCAAGGAGGGAACACTATTGAGTGATGTAAGCTGTCCAAGTGTGGCTTACGGCTTCTTAGAGAGCGCCTTGTCCTGACTACAGAGAGAATCCATGACTCACTCCTACCCAAATGACCCACGAAAACTCACATATGTCAGATTATTATTTTTTTCTTGTTTTATCCTTTTACTTGCTTACTACAAAATAATTATACACGTGCACATATTGTATTAAGGAGCAGATCAAGGTAATTAGCATATTCATTGCTTTAATGTTTATCATTTCTTGGTCATGAGAACAATAGATATCATTTCTTCTAGTTCCTGTGAAAGATATAGATATATCGGCTTCTTAAGAGCAAAATGCAACTTACATTTTTATATGAATGAAGATTTTTAAATGTGGAGTAAGTTCCACCACTGTCGAAAAACATTGCATGGGTCAAACAAACCACCTTTCTTGGCACACTGAAATCTTTGGGCGCTCTGTGTGACTTTTAACATACAGAATCAGGATGGAACAGAAAACTCATGTAGTAGCAATATCCTATAGGATTCAACTCTGATTTTGTGTTCACATCCACGGTCCTGTTTCTCCATTGTAGCTGAGGAAAATGAGTTGCCCATCACTTCATTATTTATCTACTTTTCATTTTTGAGACAAGGTCTCACTGTATAGCCCTAGCTAGCCTGGAACTCCCTATGTAGACCACACTGGCCTCAAACTCACAGAGCTCTGCCTGTCTCTGCCTCCCAAGTGCTGGGATTAAAGGTGTGAGCCACCATGCCCTCTTATCGCTTTAAAAAGGAAACAAATGTATGGCCACAGGAATCTTTGCAAAAGTCATACAGTTCACGTCTTGAACTTTTTTTTTTTTTCTTTTTGAGACAGGGTTTCTCTGTGTGGCTTTGCGCCTTTCCTGGAACTCGCTTTGTAGTCCAGGCTGGCCTCAAACTCACAGAGATCGGCCTGCCTCTGCCTCCCGAGTACTGGGATTAAAGGCGTGCACCACCACCGCCCGGCCCAGTTCATGTCTTGAAAGTTTGCTTTGAACTGGGGAGATACAGCTCAGTGGTAAAGTGCATGCTTTTACATGGCCATGGGCTGCTTCTGCAGCACCCACAGAAGTCCACTTCATGCCATGAACATTTCGCACCCTTCCAAAAGATTAATTGACCAAAGTATATAACTCATGGAGCCCTCAATTTATTTGTACTTAGTGATCCCCAAGTGTATGTGTTTTGAGCCAGGAACAGATTTTCCTCCAGGACAATAGCTACCATTTATGGATGCCACCTCTTCACTGTTTTCAGTGCAGGAAGGCTCACACATTTAGCTTCTTTAATTCTGGAATGCTCTTCGGTATGGATGAGAAAACAGGCTCAGAACCGTAGCGTGTCTTGCCAAAGTAGTGGATGTTAGAGCCAAGAATCAAATACGTGTGGGGGTCGGGCTCCAAGGCCTACTGCTCTTTAATTCTTCAACACTGTAGTGTCTATAATTCAGTGTCTATATGTGCTGTTAAGGCCCCCAGGACAGGCTACTACTACTACTGTATCCATCAGGAATTTGCAGGACTACATTTCCAGTAGTGAGTTTCTAATAAAACCCCTCGCAGTATGATTATATATCTTAAAAAACAACATACAAACAAACAAGAAAAACTTCCTCAATTCTCTGTAGGGAAAATGCTCTTAATGATGCATAGATACATTCTTACTGTGACATATCCAAGCATCACAGTAGCCTACAAAGCAGAGAGCGAAATTCTATTGGCTTCTTCCCTTCCCCCTAATCCTGCTCCTCTTTCTGTCTCTGGTTCTATACTATTTGATTTGTTTCTCCTAGATGACTTTTTACATATCTATACATTATACACCCGCATACAATGCGTGCAGCTGTGTTCTATAGGAAATGAATTCACAATTCCATCCTGAGACTTCAACGGCCTTTAGCGGCAGCCCTACAACTTCCCAGAGTGTGTAGACCTATTTGAAACCCACCACAAGAACTCTTTTTATGTGAGAAGAAAACCAGGGATGAGGCGGAGTTCAAGACCAGGATGGGATAGTGTGAGTGATGGGGAGGCAAGGGATGGTGCAGAGATCACAAGATAACTCAGTAGTGAGAGACAGAATTGCATATTAAGATCACCTGGGGAAATTTAAAACATCCTGATGTCCTATACCCCACTGCTGATCGACTATAGTAGTATTTCTAGGACTGAGCCTGAGTATCAATATTGTTTAACAGTTCTCCAAGTGATTCTAATGTGAGCTATATAACCATGGAGGTGCTGGTGTTCAGCTGGGTCTGGGCTCAGGTCCCAGCTCTTTCAGGTAAGTAGCTACCTGCTCTTTGGAAAGTTAACTAGTGTTCTTGTGCCTCATCTGTGAATTGGGGACTCTTAGATCTTTGTAGGATTGATGTGAGGTTGACTTGAACTAATGCCACCAGGAAAACATGTGAAACTGCCCTGGGTATAGTAAGTGCAGTTTAAATGCTTTTTCTCTCCTGCTTCGCTTCCTGCCCCTTGGAGCCTGGCTAAGAGTGTGGTTTATTAGCTCCTGGCTCTTAGCTTTTCTCTTGATCAGAAGTTATAGGAGTCTTGCAAAGGGTTCAGTCTCTCCAAGCTCTGCCTGTCCTCAGAAAGCTTCCCTGTGAACCCAGACACCAGGCTGCTCATTCAGATGCAGAAGGATTTGCATCCGACAGATGGGAGAGCAGCCTCCTCTCTAGGTGGCGCACAGAGCGGGAAAGGAAGGTTTCTTACAAGTGGTGATCCTTCCAAGAACCTTCCCTGGTCTCAGTTTCTCTAAGGTGCTCTCTGTCCTCATGGTCTCTGCATTTCCTGCTGCCTTTTATATTTATTCATTTACCTTTTGTGCTCTCTGTCTTTTAAACGGTAAGTCCTTTTAGAGGCAGAGCTGTGATTTCTGGGAGAGATAGCAGTGAGCAGAGGAAAGGGATGCTAAAGAAAAAATAAAGTGTGGCTTCTCAGGCAAGTGGAAAGCAGTGCTCCTCCTCTCCCTCCCAGTATCTCTGTACCCTAAAACACCCTCCCCTGGCCATGGACAAATCGAATGAGTCTCTTCTTCCTGCTTTTCCAGCAGAAGTCAGTGCCATCACAGGGAATTGAAGAGGCAGAGACAGAGATTAGTCCTATAGGGAAATGGGTTTCCCAAGTATAAAAGTACTATTTTATAGGAAGGAAGATTTAATTTTTTTTTCAAGTCTTCAAGGGCAGATGGATGGGGAAATTTTAGATAAGCAATTAAACTATAAAACAGTAGCAAGACTTTATACAAATTTTCTGCTATTAAATTAATACTAATTTGAATAGGTTTATGTTAATATTATTCCTGGAGTTTTTGTTTGTTTGCTTTTCTGATTTTGTTATTGTTGTTTTGCTTTGTTTGGTTTTTGCATTTTTTTTTTTTTGTGGCCGCTCTGTTCAAGTTTAGGACTAGATCCTAAAACCTAAAGATCTTTTAATCTAACACACTAAGCAAAAACATATTGAAAGCCCTTGCTTCATTAGTAAATGAAGGAGACAAAAGATGACATGGAAGCAATAGCTAAATCTTTAACAATAAGGTGCATCATTTCAGTCACATTAGACTTAGTTCTAAAACATAAGAGAGGTGATCAGCATGGCCAGGACACCGCAGCATGGCTTGATATGGTCACAGTTCTTGAGAGGCTTGAGGCCCGAAGATTCTGATTTTGAGCCAGCCTGGGCTACATAACTAACCCCTGTCAAAAAAAATAAAAGATGGGAGAAAGGAAGGAAAGGAAAGAAGGAAAGATGGGGGAGGGGAGGAGTGGAAGAAAGGGAGAACGGGAGGGAGGGAGGGAGGGGAGAGAGAGAGAGAGAGAGAGAGAGAGAGAGAGAGAGAGAGAGAGAGAGCTGGTGCCTGGATTCCAGATGTGTCAGGAGTGAAAAACATCCAGATGCTGGAAGTCCTCTAATTCTGCTTTCTCCTGGCTTAGTTCATTCATCACTGCTAACATAGAGGGACTCCAGGATCTTAATCCTTACAAGCTTGAAATTAAAGTAGTCCTAAAAATAAGAAATTATTTTAGAGAAACATGGCCATGGGGGGTGAGGTTATAATAACTGTTGCTTACATAAATAGGTCATTTTATTGGACCGGTTAATGATTCCCATGTGTCCTTCAGAAACGCTCTGTGGTCTTCAATGACAGCCACCTCAGCGATTAGAGAAGAGAAAGTGACGAACTCAAGGCTTCTTCATCAATGGGCTCTGCCAGTAAGCCAATAGAGGGCTCAGTGGCCATTACTGACCCTCCCAGGAAAGCTTCCAGAGTGGAGACTGAAGAAGCATGGCACAGACACACAGCAGTATAATTCAAGCGACTAAAATAAACTCAGCGAGCCTGCCTCGTCTCTAAACACTGCATACATTTAAGTGCTATTTTGACAAGAGAGCATGGTGGCTTTTTAAGAATTTAATTTTTCAAACTCCGGTACAATTCTGTTCTTCTAACAGCATCCCCCGGTGTCTGTGTTGGCTCCTAGTGAGATCATTATGAAGTGAATTGAATTATTGTTCTGTTCAAATGACCTGTGCGTTCAACAATGTGTGCTGGGCACCAGAAAGAAGTGTTTTATGTATTATTGGGAGATGGCCATCTGTGGCACAAACCAGGCCTTCCAACATGCAGAAATGTTGCGAGATAGTTTATGTTCAGTTTTATCTATGATCTGAATTCCATTTATAAGCTTTTTCAGCCACTTGTCAACACTGTTCACTATAGCAACACTGAAAATGGCCAGAAAGGAACAGATTTATCAAAGCTTGGGAGGTTGGACTGTATGTTTCAATTATTGTATATTGGATTTTTATCATACATTTAAAATTCTGTCCATAAAAATAGTAACAATGTCATAAAAATGGAAGTAGTTTTCTTTGATCAACTTCCAATTATTATAAGCCACAAAATGAACAAGCTAGATTTCATGACTTTTATTAGATAATGGGTCTCACATTATATATGTATATTTTAAATATAACATTATCTGTCGATGCCAAGGAACATGGATTAATTTTTTTCAAATCTGGAAAACATTCCTCTCCCCTTTCCTGCATATGCGATGGAACAGCATGGCAATGTGTAAAATTAAATTTTAAAATTGTGGAATATATTTAAACCATACCCTCCCAACCTTTCCCTATCTTTTTAAAAGTAAACTTTTGTTAATACCGGGGGAATGTTGGACCAAATGTATGTTTTTATATAAAGCAAATATACTTGGTTATCTATATCATAGAATTAAAAGACTTTCAGATATCTTTTGTTTGGTGGTTTTATTGTTTCACTCATGCCTCAGTGAACATTAAGTACCTCTTCTATCATGAAGTATTAAATTTTCAGGTGGAATATAACTTGTAAGAGTCCCTACCTTCCTTCCTTCTCTTCTAGTGTACAAAATCATGTTTATGTTGAACACATGGCTTTATAACTGAGATGAATGTAGATTTTGATTTCATGTGGGAGGGGACACTTGTTAGAAAAACCTGACTCATATCAACAGGGAGGTTAGTGTCCTTCATAGATGTGTCCCTGGACCTTGACCGAAGAGGGTGGGAATGATGCTCTGCAGTGATGACCCCCGGCACCCGCTGAGGGCTGAGGACTCTCTGCATCCCCCTAACTGCTGCAGGCATTGTTATTTGCTCTTCACAGCTGCCCGTGAAGGCAGGCAATTTTATCTTTACAGGGAGAAGCAAAGGCTTTGGAACCAGAAATTCGCCCAAGGTCACTTCTTAGGACTTACTTTAGACTCATGTGAACTCCCGATACTGGAAAGGGTGGGACAGGTGGGAACTCTTCCAGCAAGCTTCCAGGTGGGTCGGAAGTCAGGGCAAGCAGAAGCCCCTGCCATAGACCGCTGTGGTGTGTGCAAGTCCTCCTTCTGCGCTAAAAAGCACCCTTCTAGGTAGTACTGTTTTTTTCTACAACTGACCGTGGCTCAGAACAGCTCAAGTCCCTCTATTTTTCTCGTACCCGTTGCTTTCTGGCATATTTTACTTCTTCAGGTAGGAATATTTTCATCTGGTTGTTTGGGAACTCATACAATGACACTGTCCTTGTTGTTCTGAGACAGGCATTTGTCACATGCACAGTGGAGTGTCTTCATGCTACATTTTGGGATTTTGCTGTTGTTCTTTGGGGGTCCCTAACAGGATCGAATGGGATGCCTCATTCAAAGAGGTTAACTGGCAACCCACACTGGCCAGAAACAGAGGGTTCTGTACATCAGGAACAGAGTTATACTTAGCATTCTGGGGTTCAGACTGGAACATTTGGAAAGCATTGGTTAGGCAGAAGTGAGTGGAGAATGGGAGGTAGACTCCAAGATGCAGGGTTCATGTCGGCACAGAGCCCACAGGAAGGAGCCCAAGGAGCTCATCCCAAGGCTTTTTTGGGGGGTGGGGGTGGGAGTGGAGGGGCAGCTTCCATTTTAGTCATCATATGCATCTCTGTACTTTATCTTAGACTGCCCTTAGTGTGACCCTGATCTTTTGCAGCATTAAGAGCCTGACAGTCCTTATGAGGTCTCTCAATCAACACAGCTTCCCATGGCTTGCTTTCCCTGTCTTCTCTACTTATCCTTGGTGTATTTGAGCATAATGGGGATAATGCTCAGGGGTCCTTCCTTTGCTAGTGACTGAGATCCAACTGAAAAACTTGAGGGGAAAAAAGGAGGGTGGGTGGGGTAAAGCAGGGTGCTGAGAGAGAAGGTCGAAGATACTGACAGAGGCCCCGGAGCTGAAGTAATCCAAACGGTTCCAAGCTTTATTGGCAGCTAGCAGAGCTCTGTGCCCCGCGGTTCCCATCCATCCCTCCTCTTGCCTTTAGCCTTTTCCTTCTCACAGGCACTCTCCTGGTGGAAGAAGGTGTGGCTAACAGCAGCTATGAACATTCTGACCACTGTAGCCAGATCCAAGGGAGAATTGCCCCCACTGATAAATCTCAGAAAATTCCTGAGGCAGAACTCTGATTGGCTAGGCTTTGGTCATGTGCCAAAGGGATAGCGTCAAGGGAATAAGGTCACTTACCCCTGAGGCCCAGGAGCACATACTAAGATTCTAGACTCATCTGGATGGGGACAGTGGTTCCCTAAAGTAAAAACAGCAGTACTTCAAGCAGACAATGAAATAAAATCTGCGGTCATGACAAGAGGTAAAGTTGGACAACTTTATCGTTTACAAGGAAGTAAATCAGCAAATGGGGCTCTGTGCGTCTCCAGGGTTATAGGCAGTGCGGCTCCCTCCTGTGGTCTTTGCTTCCGCTCAGGCCATCAAGGGACATTAGAATTAGAGTACTCTGCCTTAGGAAGTCATTTGGTCAGTTCCATCTGGCAGCCGGCCTCACTGTTGGCCCCAGAAGCTCAAAATAACTCAAAAGACTTTACAAAATGACATCAGAGGCTTCCCTGCCTTGAACTCTTCTTACTTTGTGATCCCTAGACCAGCAATATTGGCATCACCTGAAAATTGGTTAAAAGTGTAAATTGTTAGTCCTTATCCCAAACATGCTAAAACCAGCAACTAGGGATGAAACCTGTCATGTGATGCTAGGAAAGAAGACAGGAGGGAATAGGCATAAACACACAAGAGTGAAATGTGTATATGTGTGTGTGTATGTATGTATGTATGTATATATTTGGCAAGTGGGGTGGCTGATTTTCATTGTCACCCAGGAGGCAGGTCTGTGAGGATGTTTCTAGGCAGGTTTTACTTCAGAAGGAAGATCCCCCTGAATTTGGGCAGCTCCATCCCGGGGAAGAGAGGAAGCAAGCTGAGCAGTAGCATGCTTCCTCTCTTCCTATCCGTAGTCACGGTGTGAGCATCATGGCATCCTCAATGAGGGACCATATCCTCAAACTGAGTCAAAACAACACCCTCTCCCTTTTCCCCCCTTCTTTTTCCTTCCTGGGGGTATTTTGTGACAGTAACAGGAAAAGTAGGCGCTAACACACGGACACTTCTTTGTTCAGCTCCACTCCCTGCGGCCCCAGAGACTGTAGCAGCGACTCTTGGAGGAAGCTTGTCTTCCCCATATATCCAATGGGACTTGGAGAAGCCTCAGGGGGTTAAAAATTGCACCCCAAGCGCTTTCTTGTCTTGTTTTCCTTTCTGCATAGTTAGAAATCTGAGATCATGTTTTTTTCCACACACAGTATATCATGGAAGTAGCTCAGACACAAGCTATGTGGACACTAAGTCTGAGAGAACACCTAGTGTCCCACAACCTGTGCTCCGATCCGTCAGTGCTGGCTCCTGATCCGGTCAATCAGCAATAGTTACTTTCTCTACACATCTGAAAATTCTCACTATTAAAGTGAGCCTCTTACCACTCACCCCGAGCCAAGTATGCTTAGGTTTCAAACAGCTTTATATTTATAAGATGAAGTCATCCAATGGATGTAATATAGATGCATGTTTTGGTACTGTAAAATTATTCAAAAGCCAGAGATCATAAATTTTTATTGCATTCATTGTGTGTGTGTGTGTGTGTGTGTGTCTGGGTGTGTGTGTCTGGGTGTGTGTGTGGCCCTGCATGAGCCGTGGCACAGATGTGGAGGTCAGAGGACAGTTTGTTGGGGTCAGTTGTCCCTTCCACCATGTGGGTTCTGGGAGGGTTGAACTCAGTTTGTCAGACTTGGTGGCAAGTGCCTTAATCTACTGTGCCATCTCTACCTCATTGTTTATTATTATTATTATTATTATTATTATTATTATTATATCATACATCTGAAAACAAATTAGCTTTAATTTTTGTCCTTACAATCTCCTGGATGCAAAGACCCTTGTCCAGACCTCTGAAACTTCACTTTTACAGGACAGCTGCTCCTGCCAGGAAGTTCTTATCCCAAAGTAAAAGGATTTGCAAGTAAGGATTCACAACACAAGTGCCACCTCAGCCTTACTGGTGCGATTGCAAAGTGCTAATTTAATTTAATTACACTATAATTTAATATCTCTCGTGTTTCTTTGCGAGTACTTGAGGACGGTGCCGGAGCGGCGGCTAGGTCTCTCACAGACAGGTCACTGGTAGAAGATGTGGCTTGTGTTCCTAAGTACTAGCTAGGAGGTTTTTGTTTTGCTTTTTAATCTAAACTCTGAAATATTTAGCTCATGTTAATTTTTTTTTTACATAAAATAGCAGAATTCTTTTCCAAGTCTTCAGTTTGCATTTCATAAACACAATAGGGCATTCCAGAGGACAATTTGGTATTTATTTGCAAGACCAGTGATTCAACTTTTCTTCTTTATTACAGGAACTAAAAACTAGCAGCCTCCCTTCCCTGGGTTGCATCCCCAGTCCCCAGCCCAGGCCCTAAAAACTGCTTAGAAATCTGTTGTCTTGGCTTCTTTGGTAATTCAGGGAGTAAAAGACAGATAGGACCTATGCCAGATTTCACTTTGTAGTGAATTATTTAAAATTGTTTAAAAGGATAAATATGCTGGAAATTAAATGTGACAGACTGTTAAAAATCGCCCAAGGCAATTTTTAGAACTCTTAAGACTTCTATTCTACTACCTTGGGTAAGGAAAAATCGTGAAGTCGATAACAAAGGAAAGCGACAAGGAAATTTAACGTGTTAAAGGAGGCTGAGTTTGAGGCGGACGATGGTATGTGGGCTCTGTGGTGAGCCACCCACAGGCAACCTTCAGCACCAAGGTACTCAGTCCCCAGCTGTTAGGGCACACCGCCTCCAGCTCACAGCTGAGTCCCTCTCCGGAAACAGCTGTGAGCCCCACTGAACTGTCTTGTCCAGAGTTAATGCTCTTTCCTCAGGGTAGCCCACATCCAACAGCCGGTTCACGAAAGATATCACGTCCTACCTGGCTGCCCTGCATCATTTTGGAAACGCTTTGAGAGGCTGGGCACTCTCAGACACCCAGTGGGACTGGCTGAGGAGGCACAGCTCCGCATCTCCTTTTACCCAATCCTTCTACCCAGTCCTGCCTTCCTCACAAATTACTGGGGACTGGTTTCCAAAGCACAGGTCAATAAACTTCCGCACTCTTATCAACATCTCAGTCTGTTCTTGGGTTTGGGGACAATGTCAAGTTAAGGATATCTAAACACACGGGACCAAATGAAGAAGGTAAAGAAGTTGAAGCAATTTTTATTTATATATTTTTAATTGAAAATTTTTTCATACACTGTATTCTGGTTTTATTGTGGTAGGAACACAATACGAGTGCAATACTCAACCCATTTTAACCATACAGTAGATTATTTGTGGACTATGGGAAAGAGTTGCACAGTAGACT